GGGGAGGGAAAGGGCGATCGGCTCATCTTGTGAGTTACGGTCACGTTGCGGAAATAGGAAGCCCCGGCCGCTTATCTCTCGGGCCCTTTTAAATGCTTGTTGAAAGGCTGCAGAAAGTAAGTAATCGCAGTGACAGGTCGTGCTGGGGGTTGTGTGATTCTTGGCAGGAGCGAGCAGCCGATGGCTGCAAGCAGATCGCAACTCTTTCCTTGCTGTGTCTTCCTGGCCGCAAGAATCTGAAGTGTAGGGGCTTCTTGGCCCCAGAGTCTCAAATGAAGCCTAAACTCATTTTCATGCCTACAGAAGTGATAAGCAAAGTTCACATAACCAAAATACTTATTTGTAAGGATGTCGGCTGGTAGAGAGTATCTACTTAAAATAGTCTTTGCTCCTTTGGATGAACTTTAGAAGTTGTTTGCTGCTGCTGTGATGGAAATTACACCAGACCGTGCGTTGAGGCTTGAATGAGGAAGTTCAAGACCAATGGCTTCTATGGTCTTTTTGCTGTTGAAAGTGGCTATCTCACACTTTCTGATCTCTCAGCTTCTGTATTACCTGAAACACTGGTCCATGATTCTTCAGAGTAAGAGTCTATTTAAACTGTATGCTTTTGGTAAATACCTTGCACTGACTTTATCCATTTGCTGTTATGAATCAGTAGAGCAGGTAATAAGCTAAATGTGTAATGAAAGCGTAGTTGCTGTAAATGTCTTTTCCCTTCTTTAAGTGTACTGTTCCATTCAGACCAGCCAAAACTTGCACCTAACACATAGCTGTGGATTTTTTCACTCTTGTTTCCGTGCTGCTTCTATTGTAGTAAAACATTCTGTGGACGTTCTTTTATAGGATCATAGAAATGGTGTTTGGAAGTGACCTCAGGAGGTCACATAGTCTAACCTCATGCTTGAAGCAAGACTGTTGCCAACACTAGATCAGCTCAGCTCTACCTTTGTTTAAGCAAGCCTTGAAAACATCCAAGCACTTCCCTGGGTGACCTGTTACAGTGCTGCACCACCCTCTTAAGGAATTTTTTTTCTTCAAGTACAGGCTAAGACTTTCAAGCTGCAGTCTGTAGTTTTTCACAACATCCCTGAAAAATACCGCTATGTTTGAGTTATTCATGTTTTAAGCTAGGATTGTGGCAGAAAGATTTTTTTTTTTTTTTTTTTTAAGTCAGGTAAACCAGGTTGCCTACTGTCTTTTGTAACCAACCTGAGACACTTACGGGGTGATCTTTCTCAGATGTCTATTTTTTTTCCTCATTTAATGTGTACAAAATGTTTGTCTCCTATCCTGAGAATTTATCATTTTGTAAATGTGAAATGAGGTGCTTAAGTAATGTAAATCTACCACCAGTGGCTAGCCGAACATTTTAGGATAACCTCAACAAATGTATTATTGCAAAAATCTCTTTCAGAAATTAGCCACCTCTTAAATTCCTCTACCTCATGCCAGCCATTTATGTGCTAAGTGAGACATAGGCATATGGAGAAGTCTAAATCACTCTTCATATCTAAGTCTCTCCATGTAGTCTGCAACTGAATGTGGTCTGGTCCCTATGTGATCGGATAATTGCTGTATCATAATATTTATGTGAGTGGGTAAAACTAAGCTTCCCTGGACAACCTTAATGTTTTACATGTTCTTGCTGAGTTCTTATAGTTGTCACTGTTGATTATGATGTCAGTAATAATATTCCGTTTTCCTCTGCCTTGAGGATTTAGATCGACAGATCAGATCTCTAAATGGTACTATTTGTCTGTTATAACATCTGTGGGTCTCCTGTCCTCTATTGGTAAGATGGGGGGGGGTGTTGTTAGTGGGGCACGTAGGTAGCAGCACAAGAATGATAAAACTCATGACTTTTCCCCCTTCCTCCAAGCTGTCTACTAGTCTGCTTGGGCAAACTCAGCTTGGCTACTTTTCCTGTTTCTAGTTGGAATATCATCAGAAATGGAATGTGATCTGTGTAGACTTAAATATTAACTCTTGCCTGAACCTTAAGAATCCTTACTCAGTTTAAAAAAACACTGATGGCTCCAAAGGGGACTTGCCATTGTATGGGAAATTGTTTATCAAAGATGCTGATCTGCTGTAACGCATGTACTTCATATGGAAAATTGAAGCATACAAGTAAATCTCCTCCTCTAATGAAAAATAGCTAATCTAAGGCTGTGGTTCTCTGACCAACTGAGGCAGTCTAATTCCTTGCTGCTGGAAGTGAGAGATTTCATTCCTGTCTTCCTCAGGGCAATGTGTTCCTGTCCTCTGCATCGTCCCAGCTGCGTTACTTGTTAAATCCTTTTTTGAGCTTATTAACATGTCAGGAAACTATCCAACTTTTTGCCAGACTAGTTTTTTGCTGTGTTAGTGAGTTGAAGTGGCTTACAGAATTATGACAGGTGTACGCTACCCAGAGGTAAGCAGCAGGTCTGCATGGCTTAGGGCAGAGGACAGAGGAGCAGTAAGGTGTCTTCACTTAATGAGTCAATTTAGCAGCTCATAGCTGCCTACGGCTCATGGAACTGCTTCCTGACTTGCACATGGACAGCTACAGTATATCAGTAAAGCACAGCACCTAACTGAAGTATCTGAGCTACAGATACATGTGAACAATTCCATCTTTTTTCCCCCTCCAGAATTTCTTGGTTTGGCTAAACTTGAGTGAATTTTCATAGGGAGGAGAAGCTCTCCTGTTGATTCCTGGTGATAAAATAGATGGCTTGCTGTTGAAAGGGGCAGGTCTTGTTCCTGAAAGCACTCATCTTCCTTTTGCTGTCTCTAGCTCTTGTCTGATTGCACAATAAGACAGTTCAACTTTCTATGCTGCTAAAAATTGGTCTTTAAAATTTTTTTGGGTAAGTCTTTTGCTGTTTTAGCCAGTTGAATTGGTTTACTGTGCAAGCAGATAACTGCCAAAAACAGTGTAAGGTAAGCAGTTGAAATGTATTGGGACCACGGTACTAGAATAAAGGAAGAGATTTTCAGATTAAGAGGGAAAAGTGAGGGACCTCTCCCTTTCCGTAGCAGCAGGCTACCCCACCTGTAATTAATATGTATAGACCAAACTAGTCTGAAACCATAGCAGACTGAATTTCAGGTTCTTACTCAAGAGTTGCTGGAATTACTGATAAACTTTTATAAGAAGGTAAATGTGGATATCCTTGCCTTCTCCTTGGAAAGAGCTTCTGTTCAAACCTAAAATAGTGTATTAGTCTGAATACATTGTTTAAATCCTCATAGTTCAGTTTTCAATTGTTACATAGATAAAATTGTGGAGCAGCTTAATTATAGGGAGAAGTACTGATCTCATCCGTACTTTTATTCATGTTCTTTTAAGATTTTTATTACACAAAAGTTGTGGTGATGACTAATACGACTCTAACTTGGTACCTTAAACTAAAACATTGGCAGCTGTGGTAATTGTATTATTCTTGTGTATGATTTCTTGCTCCCGTGTAGTTTGAATGGTTATGTTAGCCTTAAAGTGGTTTTGTCATGTGGTCACTCTTTCTGTGATGGTTAGATAGTGTTTTACTTATGCTCTCAGCAGATACAGTTCATTACATAAGATTCTACGTTTCAAGATGTATAATTACACAAATCTTACCTTTTCAGCTTTCCTTTACCTTATTCACACAAATCTCTTTATATATATCTGTCAGAATTGAAGAAGTGCTTTAATATAACTGCTGATTATTTCCACTCTTTCAGTCTGGAATCGAGCTGTTTGTGAACAGGCTTGACTCTGTAGAGTCAGTCCTTCCCTACGAATATACTGCGTAAGTATATTCCACTGTTTATGTCATTTTAGTTGTCAGTTCTTCCAAAAATTTATTTTAAAGTATAATCTACGTCTTGCTACAGCAGTTTGCCAGTGAGGAATATCTATTTATTTTGCTAATATAAGTTTACAAATACAGAATTTTCAGCGAGCAGATGGATGCATACATTGCTTCCTTCTCGGTTTCTTTGCTCGTACTTTAGAAGTTGTGCATGGATTCATAGGCCCTCATGTAAGTCGAATCACTGCTTTAGAGTAACTTAAGGTTCAAATGTGTGTGTATATATATAATACTTACTCTTCTGCATTAGTTGTCATTTTAGAGATCAAAGTATTATTGCTGTCTTTAGTAGCCTATAGCCAGATGAGTTAAAGTGGTAATGAGGTGTGAACTTCCTATCAATTTTCCTAATGAGGTGTTAAATGTTTTCTTGGTACACATCATACACACAAAATGTGTCAGTGCCTGTTACAACTATGTAAAGTTGTTGCTTCAAAGAATATTTTGACTGTTAATGTTGAAGAGGTTAAGTACTAGTTATGTCTACACTTTAATAAACACAAATGTGATATACTTGAAATTAGGCTGGAAAAACTTGGAGGATGTGCTATTAAATGTGTTGGTGAATAAAACTGCAATAACCTTTTTATTTAGTAGTGCTTGTTGTAAATGAGCTCTGTGTGTGTGTGTTTTTTGGTTTTTGGGGTTTTTTGCTTTTTTTTTTTTTTGCTTTTATTATTCCCCCCGACCCAAGAATCTGGCCTGCATGCTTTTCTCTCAGAGCTGTCATGAAACTCTGAAGGTTTAATTGTTGGCTAAAATCCCTGTTCAAATAGGAAGTGTCTAATTACTTAAGGAAACTTTTATGCTACCATGTTTAATATAAACTGAGTTCTGAAATAGCTGATGAAGAGATTTGATTGTTGGTTTTGGGGTTTGGTTTTTTTTGGTGTAGGTTTTTTTTGGTTTTGTTTTTTTTTTTTTTCCCCCCAAAATGGAACTGTGATTTTCACATTTTACTTTGCAGGTTCGAGGAAGAAACTGTTGTCTAGAGGGAAAGCTGTATAGTTCCTTTACTTGTGATGAAGGTGTTGATTTGGGAGCACTGTTCGAGGTCTAATATTTGCAGCTGAGAATTTTTTATTAACTTTTGTATCTTTTCCCTAATTCAGGTTTGATTTTTGTCAAGCGGAAGGAAAGAAGCGTCCCTCTGAAAACCTTGGCCAAGTATTGTTTGGAGAGAGGATAGAACCGTCTCCTTACAGGGTTTGTTCTCTGACAAGGGGTATTCAGTAATATGTACGTTCAAATGTAGCTAAAGGAGACAGAATCTTGAAGATCCTCTTCACAAGGACTTTTATCTCAAAGAGCTTCAAAATCTGAAATTCCACATAATAGAAATCTGTCAATTTAACCTAATTGTAACTATGCACTTTGCATCATGAAGCTGTAGTCTGAAATGCTGTGAAGGTTGTTTTCTCTCTTTGCAACCTGCCAAAACCCGATTCTTGCTCCTCAGCTGTCCTCTTGTTAGAGGGAATTGAGTACTCTTATTTCTTGGAACCAGATCTGAAAATACGGCAGCTGTAAAATGGAAGAATTAGAAATGGTGTTAGCCAGCTTGTCTCTTCTGGTGACTGAAGCTCTCGCCGCCTTTCCTACATGTAGTAGGAGAGAAAGTTATCAATTGAATCTGCCTGGGACAGCATTGCTGCTCTGAGGTCAAATGACTTGTCTGGTAAATCATTGCAGAAAACCGCTTTTAATCAGTAACAAGGAGCTCTTAGTCTAAGGCTTCTGCAGTGAGCACAGGAGGGTTTTATAGCACACACCAATACAAAAACCTCCTCTGGAGGGTTAATATATGTAGTCTTGGTAATTTGTTAGGTGTTTTTATTATAATAGTATAGACAATTATAAATGTATAGGGGGAACTTGTTAAATACTGAAATGACACCGTTTGTTACAACCTTTTTGCTTATGTGTCTTTCATTTTTCTTAGTTCACATTCAACAAGAAGGAGACATGTAAAACTGTTTGTACAAAAACATATGATACCGCAAAGCCAGAAGATAAACAGAAATTAGACTTTTTGAAAAAAAGTATGCTACTGAATTATCAACATCATTGGTAAGCTGATACAAAAATTCACAGTTTGGTTAGTCTAGTATGTTGGTGATAATTTAATTTAGGTTATCATTTTGTATTTGCAAGTTAATACAGATTGAACACTAGGTATTTGCACTGAATCTATTACCCTTCTGTTCTTGCAAAAGATGTTATATTTTTTGTTGTCTTCATAAAAAATTTCCTTCACTTGAAGGATAAGCACCAGGTGTAATGGAAATGAGCCTGTTTCCAAACATAAAGCTTTGTGTAGTTTTTGTGCTGCCTCTGTGCTTCTGATGAAATACTGTTATTTCTTTGCACCTGTAAATGTAGAAGTTAATCCTGCCCTAGCTTGGGAAAAGTCTTAAGGGACCTTCATTCTATTGCTATGTTGACTTTGTTTTCCTCGAGATCCTTTGCACTGCCCTTCAAATGTTGTGTCCAGGAGATAGGATCAATGGTTCTGAGAGTTTTATGCAAGATTTTTTCCTCTTATAGGATATGCAAGTGAAAGATGAAAATTAATTAATGAAATAATTTTGAGGAACGCATAAACACTTAGTCCTTTCTTATTCTCTGAGTCCCTCTAACCATCTGAGTCATCTTGGAGCATGCTGGGGCTCTGTTTCTGTTTGAACATTGAGGTCCTCTTCCGA